GTTTAGCTAGGCCCTTGCATGGGTCAGTTTTCCTCTGGAGCTGACAAGGGACCCCTCCAATCCAATGGAGCCTGAGGGGAGCATGAAAAAGCACATGATCCTCAAACCACCTTCCTGGGGGCCGTGGGGGTTGACAGCACAGCCGTGGGACTTTCACAGGGTATAAAAAACCCTTTGGTAAATTAGAAGTGTCAAAACTCAGCTGTATGGGGAGCCCCGATGGGCCTCTCAGGATCCAGTCAGTTCGAGTAGCTATTTCTGCAGGAAACCCAAAGCCCCGTGCTTTTCCCTCTTCTGTGATGCCATCTCCAGGGAGTGGGCTCACGGGTCAGAAGGAAGTGGACAGACAGGCTGAGTTGAGCCACGTGGGGAGCTTCTCAGATTCTCAGTTGTGGCCACCCCCAGAGCAGTGGCTTCCATAGCCTGTGGGAGGACATACAGGGTCCAGGGACCACCCGGAATTGTTGGAAGTGTCTGTGTACATGTAGCATTCTGGTGTGTCTCACCCGTCGTTTGGGGAGTTACTTTAGGTCATTTGCTGTTGTAGAAGGCTTCCTGCATTCCTCAGGCATCTTTATTTACATAAAGGAAAAACTACCAGAGCCTCCTCCTGATCTTGCAGGGACTCAGAGGGCCGAGGATAGGCAACCAGAGAAGTGAGAGGTCATTTGCCTTAACAGTGTTTATGTCTAAGATTTGAAGCTTTCTTCTCCCCAAGTAATCTACAGCAAAGGCAGGCTCTATAAATTAGGAAGGTGACCTTCCTTAGGGCTCCTGGTTCCTAATTCTACAGAAATATAGCCATTTCTCCATACTTACAAGATCTTAAAGTCTTTTCTACACTGGTAAACTCCTCAGTGGCTTTGAGTGTAACTGCATTTAAACCATCCATGTCCTCGTATGTTTTCTGATCAGGGGTTATCGTAGCCTGTATCTTCTAAGCCACAGAGATGCTAAGAGTCAGTTTTCTCTTCTGGATAGAGTAGGCATGAATGGACAGAGGGGTAAATGGTGTGGGGGTGGGGGCTAGGGGTTGGAAAGGTGACCTGACCTAACAAGATCAAGGTCTTTTAATGGATCATACCATCTCTGCCCACAAACTTTCTGTAGATGATCTGAACATTGCTGGGATTATTGGGGGCGTCCTGGTTGTCCTTATTGTTCTTGTTCTGATCACAATGGCCATCTGCTGTGCATACAGACGAGGCTGCTTCATCAACAATAAACAAGATGGAGAAAGGTATGCCTGCCTTGTCTGAAGGTGAAATTCAGGCTTCCATTAACATAGGCACACCACTGACCTGCCCTCTTCTGTTTACAGTTATAAGAGTCCAGGGAAGCATGAAGGAGTTAACTACATTCGGACAAATGAGGAGGTAAGAGAGCAGAAAACATAGTGGTCTGGGTGTGCCCTGCCAGGAAACCCAGTAGATCTCAAGGTACCCGGGAGTCACAGTGCACCCCTGAGCTCCTTGGCCTTCATGGTAACTCCTTCCTTGTGGGTTCATTTACTACTGAGTGAGGCTTTCCTCTGCTTAGTTGCCCCGGCTTCCTCTCTTGGGGACATGGTTTGACCAGTGTGTCTCTAACACCACCCAACAAAAGCCCCTGAATGGTTCTTTGTGCTGCCTTTGCAGGGTGACTTCAGACACAAATCGTCCTTTGTTATCTGAGACCTGACGGCTGGGAGAGCACTTGCAAATACCTCTATTGGAGACAGGCCAAGGGCTGCTGGGAGCTCAGGGCACCTGGACAGAGCTACCATGCAGAAGCCTTTTGTTTTGGCCAAAGTTGATTCCTTCCTTGCTCTTTAACAAGCCACACGAATAAAAGAAACCCTCCTGGAGATGGGCCTAGTAACCTAAACCTTTGCTAGCCGGACCCCCGAGGGGGTTAGGATGATCTTCAGGGCTTTTCTGTCATCAGTTCTCTTGTTCTGGACTGGTTTTGCCCCATGCTCTTTAGCAGCCACGACAGCACTGGCTGTGAGCAGCAGCTGGGTGAGCACCCTGTGACGTGCCCATGAAGGTTTTCAGGCAGTGCCTTGCTCCCTTGGACCCTGACCCACCGTGTTGCCTCTGTTGACGGGCCCGTAGTTTCACGTCCCTCCTGGAGAATCTGTCTGGATCAGCATTTTATAAAAACCCAAACCAGAAAGGTAAAATTGCTTGCTGAAGAGAGAGATCTTACCCAGAGAACTCTTGTTCCCAAGAGCTGCCAGGATTTAGAACCTGTCTTAAGCTAAGTCTGAAATGGTACTGAAGTCTGCTTTTCTATTGATTTTGCTTATTTTATAAAATTTTAACATTCTAAATTTTTGCTAAAGATGTATTTTGATTATTGAAGATTTCTATATAAACTGTAAATATATTGCCACACAGTGTTTCAAAACGTATTTTTTTAAGAGTTCAACTTACGGTTAGAAGGCTTGGGCTACTAGTGTTCAATACCAGTAATAAAGTCTTTTAAGGAATTCTCCTAAGGAGGCTGGCTGAACATTCCTTTGTTGACAAAAAGTTTTAGCATTTTTCATAAGAAAACTTACTGTCTGACCACTGTTGCTTAGGAAACCATTAAAAGATTCCAATCGAGTCATGTTTCTATCTTTTTGCATTAAGAAACCCTGGGGTCTCCTGGGTTAGTTTTGAATGGCCTCTTCCTTGAGATTCCTTCTCCCACAGAGGTACCGTATAGACCAAGTTGGATGGTTCCTGGGGTTAGTTAAGTCACTGCTCATGGTCACTGACTTGTGTGGGATGGAATCTCCCCTTACAGCCTGCCCAGCCCCCACCTCAGCTCTGCTCGGATTCAAATGCTCACTGATGGTATGTTGGGCCGGGCAGTGCTTGCTGGTCTTAGGTGGGAAGCTGAGGAAGGCTGTTGGTCAGTGGCATCCCAGTCTTGGGGTGCTGTGGCAGAACTCCAGTCTGTTTTGGAGAGGTCATAAGACAAAGCCAGTGTACTTGTTTTTTTTTTTTTTATCATTCTTTTTTTTTTTTTTTT